GTGTTGTTAGAACCTTAGAGAGGAAAACCTAGCCAGCAAGTGAGCGCTATGGCCCCAATCTGTAGCGAGGGGGAAAAAGAGAATGATTTAATCAATTTCTGCAAGAACAGTTGAGGAAATGGAGAATTCCTGATGATAAGCTAAGCCTCTCAGAACAGTGTGCATAGCTCAGAAGTAGCAGAAGGTGGTATTTAATTGAAAGGGATAGCAGCTCACCTGCCTTTAGACAAAAACACCCAAGACTATTAGGAATAAAAGGTTGAAAAAGAGGAGTATATGCCTGAGGACTATTTTACTTCCAGGTGGGATTTGACATTAGAAATGTCATGGAATATATGCAGGGAATTTACAGGAAGATTAGATAGAAGATACAGCCAGAGATTTAATGTAAAAGGTTTAAAGAGGTTTTTGAAATTTCATGGATAAAAAGATGTTGCTACAAAAAGATGGCCATAAGATTTCAGAGTCACAGCAATTTTAAGCAACAGCATTTTGGAGAGATAGTGCAGAAATAAGTAGGTAGACATGTTAGTTAGGGTACAGTGAGTGAGGGTTATCCAGCAGGTAAAATTTAAAGCAACAGAGAGGGAAAGTTTAGTGGAACAGAACTAGAGCAAGCTAAAAAATAACAATTACATGCTTAATAAGGCATGAGCAATAAAGCAAGTAGAGCAAGTGTGTGCCTGTAAAAGTTTGGACTGGGAGAAGAAAGATGAAGAATGCTGAGTGAATGAACTTCAAAGGGGATCCAGTATGGGAAGCAGTAGACAGGTGCACTAAGTGGAAGAGTTTCATGGAAATTCAAGTAATAGGAGAGGCAAAGTAAAGTCTGGAGCAGAAGGAAGAGTGTGTTTGAGAATCAGGCAGGTGAACACAGTAAACTCAACAGAGACTTTGGGGAGAGATGCTGAGGAGGGTGAGATGGAGGGAATGTTTCACTGCAGAACAAGAGTGTATATAACAAATGTTTGCCAAGCTCAGAGCATGATGGTAACAAGTAAACAGACATTGGGAAGGAATTTGGATGTTATCCTTAATTTTCTCAGCCATTAATATGTTATTATGTTCTCTATTTTATTTTCCAGTCCTTGAAAATTGCCACTTCAGAAAAGATTATGGCTCAGATAAACTTGAACTCAGAATGTTAACAAAGTTGGATAATTTAGTTTAATCTCTAGAAGAAATTATGACCATCTCAAGCAGTTTGCAACCCTTTACAAAGAAGGCAGCTTTGAAGTGCCCAACCCCAAAAGGCACTTCATTTCCTTGTGATTTTAAGAATGAATCATGGGTTTTACTCTAAATTAAAAAATGAAGTATTTTTTTCCATGGCAAAGGAGACCAAGATCATCCTACCCAATCCTGGTGGTAATTTTACCTCTAGGGAAGAATCTCATTCCAGAACATATAAAAACAAATATCTTAAGGCTTAAGGACCCTTATCATTACTTCAGTTTAAAACATAGCTAGTAAAATGAATTGTATTTCTAGGACTTAAGAATATCCTGAGGATTTTTTTTTCCTTTGTAAGAAAAGAGAAAAGTGTTGTTCTAAAAATGTTTGCAAGCTATTAAGCTGTTCTCCCTTGTGGCAGAGGAAAACATGCAGCGTGATACTTAAACTATTTGGGACTTTATCCCTGAAAGCTCTCCAGCACAGACAACCTTATTGAGATGCAAACATCTGACAGTCAGCATTTTTGTATTGGGCACATAAGCCCAACCTCACTCACCACAACATAACTTCTGTACTTCTGTTAATTTATAACAGACTATAAAGCAAACAAAGCCTTTTTGGCACAAAAAACAAAACAAAACAAAAACCACCAAAAAACCCAAACAACACCCACCCACCCCCCACCCAAACCTTGCAATGTTTTTTAGAGTAGAGAGGAAAAAAAAATCCAACAGCAGAGGTAGATGCAGCTAAAGCCTGGACATGTCAGCTCCTACACATAAGAAAGGTGGACACATGGGATGTGAAGCAGGGCAGGCACAGCTAAGCCTTGCTAGCTGCTACAGATTGCCACAGAGAAAGGGGCTCAAGGGGCAGCAGAGAAAGGAGGGTGTCCTAAGAACTAAAATACATTGTTATATTTCTCAATATACACAACATGCTGTAAGTGACAACTTTCTAATATGACTTTTTTGCTAATATTTGGCCAGCTGTGCTGCTCATGGTGTGTAATAATGAGGGTGTTACAGTTACATGATTCTCTCAAGAAAAGCTCTTCATTGTATAAATGGAAAAAAAAATTACATGATAGGAGAGACAAGAACTCCTATCAGAAATCCTTTCTCTAGATTATGTTTTCTAGAAATACAATCGAGTACTCGTCTAATTTTAAAACTCTACATATGAGTGTGCAGGTAAGATTTTTTCCTTTGGGAGAGTGCTTAGTCAGAACTTCTTTTGGGACCAGCTTTACTTATTTCGTACTGTTGAGTAGTGAAGAGTAGCACTAGTGCAGAGCTATGTTTTTACCATCTATTTTTCTGCCTATTTACAGCTTTCCAACCCAACACTGAACAACTAGCTGGTTTCGTTTGGGGATTTTCCCTTGGCCTGAAAGATAAGAGATTTCCTCTGCAGTAATGAAACTGCACCTCAACTTCCACATATATGAACATTAAACACCAACCACCACACCAGAAACACCCCTAAATCCAAACCAGGGCAGAAATCAGATATGAGTTCAGAGAAAAGTCCAAGTAAATGAATGATCACCAGAAGGGCAGAGAAGGTTGGCAGGGTAAGACTGTGCCCACTGCTGTGAAAGAGAACGAGGTAGAGGCTTATTTAAGGCACAAGTGGCTACATGGACTAATCCTGTTATTTACATAGTGCAGAGAGCCTAGCAGCAGATACTTGGAGCTCCATTTTGCTAGGTATTTTTTATCCCTAACACCTATATATATTTTTTTCTGTAAAAAGAAACCAAAAATCTCTGCAAAGTTTATATTCTGAAGTACGAACTGAATTTTATTAACTAGGTGGACAAATTCAGGACTGAATCTGAAAAGAGGAGAAAAGGTGATCATGTGCTCTCAGCTAGGTGAGCCCAGGTTATATGGATTTCCTCTGACTGATGTAAGCTTGTATCTTGTCCTGGGCCAGCTGGAAAGGTGGCACCGATATGTTCCCTTCCCTCAACATACCACTTAAAAAGCATGACTAAGCAAGCCACAAGTCTATTGACAGCTGTGATTTTCAAAAGTACCACGATCACTTTCCAGGGCGCTACTAAGACATAGTGAGTTCAGGCAAACAAACAAACAAAAAAAAAAGCTGAGTGTTCCGTGCAGGTTTACCCATCTTATCTTGTGTAGGTACACAAGCTGTTCAACAGATAGCACATGCTCCCACCACGGTCCCTCCACGTTCGTTTTTCTTAACATTTAACCCAGCCAGGTTTCCCCAGTGAGGGCTGTTATTATTTCTAAAACGAGACCTCTGTCAAGTCTTTGCGGCATGACTGGCGGAAACCCCTTGAATCCTGGCTTCTTGTAACGTCAGGAAAACACAGGATCTTTCCCAACCTTCCGCCCGCGGGAGTGAACTTCCACCCGGCTAGCAGCAGCCTGCCCAGCACCGGCGCGGCCAGAGGAAGTCATTCTGCTGCTGCGGGAGCCGCTGACCTCGGGCACTTTCCCACCGTGCCCCGGCCCCGCCGCAGGGCTCAGCGGCGGCACCGCGCTCCGAGGCCAAGCGGCCGCTCCCGTCCCGTCGTGTTCCCGATGGCAGCGAAGCCGCGGCCGACGGCGCCGGGCTCCGCGCGGCTCTGGGCTGGCCGGCGGTGACAGCGGCCGGCGGTGCCGGGAGCCGCTCCGCCCCAGGGCCGAGCCCGGCACCTGCCCCGCGGGAGGCGGCCGCACGTCGGGGCCCTTCGGCCGAGCCTTGGCGGCAGGTGCGGGGCGGGTTTGGGGAAGCCCCCGCGGAGGGGTGTGACACCAGACCGCCTTCTCCGGCCCCTCCTGGCGGGGCTCCGGCAGCCCCCGCCCGCCGTCCGTTAAAGCCGCCGGGGAAGCAGAGTGCGGCCCCGCCGGCGTCGTCCCAGCCCGGGCATCCCCTCTCCGTCCCTGCCGCTCGTCGGGACGGGAGCGCCGAGGTCCGTGTCCGCTCCCGCGCCGGCGCTGCCCGGGGCAGGTGCCGGGGCACCGCTGCGGGCCGGCAGCCGGGGCGGTCGGGTCGCGGCACGCACCGGGTCGGGCGGGGCCTGCCCGCCCTCACCCCATTGTCGGGGCCATCTCGGCAGTTTCCGCCCTGGCTTCGGCTGTGTCCGCGCCGCGATGGGGAAAGGGGAGGGAGCTCGGGAAGGCTCGGGGCCGCGCCGCTCCTTCCGGGACGGCGGGAGGCGGTGCCGCTCACCTGGTGCCGCCGGCGCTGTGCAGCGCCCGAGCCGCGGCCGCGCCGGGCGGGAGGTGAGCGCCGGCCGCGCTCGCCCCGCCCTGCTGCGCGCGGGAACGCGGCTCCCCGGGCAGGCAAGCGGGCGGCGGGGGGATGGCACCGGCTTCGGGGGATGGTACCCGATGGCCCGGGGCGAGGGACGGCGCTGCGCGGCCGTCGTGGCCGCAGCGGGCGGGCGGGCGGAGGAGAGGCGGGTGCTGCCGGGCGGCCCCGCGCCGAGGGGTGAGGGGAGCCCCGGGGAGCGAGGGGCGCCGCGCCGGGGCCGGGCGCCGCTTCCGAGCCGTGGGAGCCGAGCGTGCGAGGGCGGGCGGTGATGGAGACCCGTCCCCTGGGGCCGGGGGCTTCCCGGGGAGTTCGCAGGGCGGCGGGACGGGGATGGGCAGTGCGGCGGGACGGCTCACGTCCCCTCTTTGTTTCTCTCCAGGGTGTTTGTGCTTCTCCGAGCCTCTCTCCCCGCCCCCGACTCTCCCGCCCCCGTCTCTCCCGCCCGACCCGCCGGGACCTCTCCTCTCCGGGCGGCAGCAGAGCCGCCTCGGGGCGGGCGGCGGCAGCGGTGCTGGTGTGGCGCTCTCGCCGTCCAGCCCGCTGGGAACATGGCGACTGGCGGCTACCGCAGCGCCGGGGGTAGCACCACGGACTTTCTGGAGGAATGGAAAGCCAAGCGGGAGAAGATGCGGGCGAAGCAGGCACCGCCGGCCCCGGGCGCACCGGGCGGCGGGGAGCCCCGTCCTGCGGGGGGCGGCCCCTCCACCGAGCTGAACAACAACAGTAACCTGCCCCCCGAGCGCGCGGCGCCCCCCGCCGGCGGGGCGCTGAACTGCGTCAGCCTCGCCAGCGCCGCCCTGGGCCGCGGCGCCCCCTCCAAGGAGCCGCCGCCGCTCGCCGGGAGCCGCGGGGCCGAGCCCGCCGCCGCACCGGGCTCCCCCGAGGGCGAGGAGAAGCTGGCCGCCAAGGGAAAGAGCTCGGGCCCCAGCGCCAGGAAGGGGAAGGGGCAGATCGAGAAGAGAAAGCTGAGGGAGAAGAGGAGGTCGACAGGTGTGGTGAACATTCCGGCCGCCGAGGTGAGCGGGGACGGGGGGCGCGGCCGCCGCGGAGCCGCCGCTGGGGGCGCGGGCGCAGCCCCGGTGCTGCTCTGCTGGCGGGCGCTCTCCGGCCGTGCCCGGGCTCCCCGCGCGGGCCGGGCCCGAGCGCGCTCCCTCCGCCGCGGGCGGCAGCGCCTGCCGGATGGACCGCGCGGCGCTCGGGGCATCGGGGCAGGGCGGCGTCCCAAGCGACGGACAGATGGGGTGTCATTTATCCTAAATAAACTAGACCTGTCCTAACTTGCGACTTGTTTTTTTTTTTTTTTTTTTTTTTAAGTAAGTTCAGACCTTTTGGAGAGCAAACTGAGACACGTGCCTGTAAAAGTATGGTCGAAATAATAGTAATGAGAGAAAATTGATTTATCAGGTTGGAATAGATGTTCAGGTGTAAATATTATTCAGTTTGGAAACCAGAAGAATTTCCTGCACTGGAAAAAATGTAGTGGTTTGAAGAGCATTTTTTTGAGGCAGAGGAAGATATTTTTATCAGCCAACACCACTGTCCTCTGCGGTTTGCTACTAGTATAAAAATCTGGCATTGATTTGTAATACTCCTAGAGGAATTCAGAAGAATGATAACTAAGCTTTTAGCTTGTTTTGCAGTTAATAAGAAAGGCCACAGGAAACTTTGAACAGAGTTGGATTTCTGTTTACAGTTTTGAACTAGTAATGGTGATCACCATATTTTTGTAGAAAAAAGATTGTAGTTCTTCTGGTTAATATTATGGATTATTAAAGTAAGTCAAGAAAATTAAAGATCTTTGTTTCTGGAGCAGCAGGAGAAGATGAAATTGTGTTCTTCACACCTGAAGTCACTTGTGACATCCTAGGAACTTTCACAGCACACCCTTTCATGTGAGGTGGTCTTGGAAGGTTGAGAAGTGAGTTTCAGGAACAGTAGAAATCTTTATAACTGTGGTTTTTGAGAACAATAACTTGCATAGTCTTTAGTTTGAGGTAAAGAGTTTTGGCATAGGTGTCATTGTTTTGTAAAGTGGTGAATACAAGTGAGTTATTTTAGTTTTTTTTCAGGGTGTGCAAGCCTCATAGACTGTATCTTGTTTGTTTTATGTGGACCCACCTTAAATACCTCCCCCTTGTGCCTTTTATAGGAACCTTAAAATGCTGCATCTTTTCTTCTCTAAGTGAACTAGTCCTAGTTCAGTCAGTAATGGTTTTGCACATTGCAGCAGGTGTTTATGACATGATAGTTTAGGGGTCTCTCTTGTGTACGCTATCCCTAGTTGTACACTCTTTGGTTGGTTGGTTTTGAGCAGTGAATTTCTTTTTGCTCTCTGAGACTAACATCCCAGTTCTCTGAACTGCTGTTCCTTTGGTAGATTTCGGATGGCGTGGTTTGGGGTTTGGTGAGTTGGGTTGTGGTTGGGGTGTCTGTTTGTTTGTTTGGTTAAAGTATTACTCAAAATGTGTCTTGCTTTCCAGGAAAACACATTCCTTGCTCAGCAGCCATTAGAATCCTGTGTTTGAATTTGCTGCATTTTTAAGGATATCTTTATTTATTAAGGGTAACTTAATAATCTTTATTTATTAAGGGTGTTTAGGCATTGAGAAACAAGTTCCCACCTGCCCCCTAAACTTTGCTGAGTGTTGCCATGTGTTGGTGCTTCTTGGAAACTTCTTGTACCTTTATACCAATTGCTTCTTTAAGTAGCAATTAAGCATTTCATCACATTTTTGGGGTCAAATTCTAATAACTGTAGGTAACTGTTGTACAAGGTGTCATTGGAGAAGCTTGCTACTAATAAGTGTTGCATTTTTTACCAGTACATACTTATTCAGAGCAATCTCTTTTCAGTATTTCACCTTTCTTAAATGTTTTTATTCCTTGCCACATGCATTCCTAAGAATTGTTTAGCTAGGGAACACTACATCATTCCTGGTAGTGAACAGCTTCAAAAACAGTCTCCAGTGTCAAATGTGAGTACCTACTTACTGGTTAATGCTTTGCAGACTATTTACTTGTCTTTCATACAGCTTTGTAGTCATGAGAAAATGCTTTAAAGTATTGATTCAAGCTGGTCAGCTGAAGTTCTCAGACAAAAGAAGGCTGTGATGTAGATGATGGCTTGTTGGAGTAATCTGCAACACTCCAGTTTCTTATTGTCTTTCTCACTTGGTGCTAGGCATAGTTTACTGTGCAGTCAATACACAGTGACTTGGTAGTAGTACACTCTGAATTTTACTACTTGTAGCTCTTGATGGTGTATGTTTTAAAATTAGTTCTCAGGAGATGTTATTTTAGAGTTTTGCTGGATGTGTCGTTGTCTTATTTTTCAAGAAAACAATTTTTGTAAGAATGAAGTAGACACTTTATGCTAAATATCTCCCCTTTATGATCATCATGCCACTGTGGTGGAGACCAGTGAGATCCTCTGAAATGAAAACTGGTACCTGTTGAAAAAATGCACTCCTAGAAGACATGAAGTGCCTAAAAGCTTTTGTGCCCAAAAACTGAATACAAAAATAGGTTTTGCCCCAAATAAGTAGGATTTAATTTCATTTGCAATGCAGCTGGAGAATTTATTGATAGGAAAGGTGGCAGAATAAGAACAGTTTGTGTTTTCTAAGTTATCTTGAAACAGGCATGAAAAATGCTAGCAGATTACTTATTAATGATTAATTTCTCTCCTGTTCAATGGGAAGGTAATAGGGCCACTTCTTAAAGAGTTCTGCGTCTTAACTGTATTTTGTATGGGTGTTGGTGGAGGACAGAAACCACATTGGAGGCTGTGAAAACAGATGGTGACAGGTTTGCTACTAGTATAGGAAGTTGACAATGCTTTGTATTTGGAGACCACCATGATAAAAGTAAAGGCTGCTTTTTTACCTTCTCAGCACTAGTGCTTATCTAAGTCACGGTGACTTTTGAAAATGGCTTTGGAAATACAGTGTTTTTCCTTTCAGCACTCGTAGTTTCTTGAAAGTTGGATTTTGTCTGAATATTAAGTGCTGTGGGATTTGGGTTTTGTTGATTCATAACAATTCTTCAGGTTGTAAAAGGTAACTGAATTATATGCAATTACCCTTACTATGTATGTTATCTTCCTTAAATATTAACTTTTATAACCGTTTTTAATTGTGTTTGGAATGTGTTTCTCAGTTTGCAGGTACTCACCTGATGCAGGTGTTGAGTTTACTTGCAGCATTTTTCTCATTTACAGTTATGCTAATGCCTATTTAAGAAACACAGAGCTCCCATTATTCACTGACAGTGCTTTATGAGGATCCATATATAGGATAACAGTTATGTTTTGTATTGTTATCATAATTATGTCCAGCTCCAAGCAAGCCATGGTGCACTGGTGAAACTGCACCTTTACTTTTGTAACTTTACATTTGAGAATTATGCTGGTATAGCTGTGTGTAAGGTTTTTTTTTTTTTTTTTGGGTGTTTTTTTTTTTTTTCTGAACTCCAGAAAGGAGACTAACAAATATTTTTGTGGTTACTTTTTTAAAAGTATATATAATATACTTTTTTTTAATGTCTATATAATCAAAATCTTGGTTCATTTAGGAAGGACAGTTGTGTAGCTGGGTTTTGTGTAATATGTGCAGTATAGATAAAGTTTACATTTTTACTTAACCAGATGGAAGTCATCTAAGTTGGGAAGTGTTCTTTTGCTAATAACAAGATGATAAATGATTTTAAAAGGTGTAAGGAACACTGATCTGTGTATTTGGTACCTGAGGCTGCCAGACCTGAGACACAACAGTCTCCTGACCTGTTCGTGGGAAATACTGGAGTGAAAAGGCAGAAGTGATTCAAATATGGACTCTGCAAAGGATGTTCAGCCAGTCTGTGTTCATCTCTTGTCTTGTGAATAGCAGTAAAGATACAACTTTTTGCATCCCCACTGATGGCTCCCTGTCAGGAGTCTGCCTGTGTGTTTAGAAGGCAGTGCATGTGTGCTGCTTGGTGGGTGTTGTACTGAACAGCAGCCTTGGAAGCAAGCAGAGCAGTGAGTGCTTTCTGTGGGGAAAGAGTTCCTGCTACTAGAGAAGTCCAGTGTGCTCAGTTGAGACTAACAGAAAGTTGCTGTCTTCCAGTTGGAAAAATATCAAGAAAATTTAAGTGCTACATGTGTGGGGCATAGCAATTACTGTATGTGTTGTAAAGGAATTGAAATCCTTCTCTGAATGGCTGGAAAATAGAGAGAGGAGTGGAATCCTGTACTGGCTGTTGAGCTCTTTTGATTAGAAGTTTGCCTTCAGCATTATCTTTCTTAGTGATTCCCTACCTGAGGATTGAAGTGTCTTCATGTTGTATCTTGAGATTAATGAGGTAGTGTCTTTCCATGTCTAACATCAGTTGTGTTGTAAAACAACTTGTCTGGTTTTGTGTTGAGCAAAAAACAGCCTCAATAAGTGGTTGTTCAAAGTACTAAGAAAAACCCCTGCATCTGACTTATATGCTTACCATTCATGCAGATGTAGTAGTGTTATAGTGGAAGTCTGGAGTATATTTTTTTGACCTGGACAACCATTCATGATAGGTTAGACCATTCTCTTGCTGGCTTTCTCTAGTGAACACATCTTACTAGGATTCCATTTATGGTTCTTCTTTCAGATGTGGCAGGGTGAATAGAAACATTTTCAGGTTCTAATAAAAGAATTGTATTGAGATTGTTTATATCCATTTTGTTTTTCTTTTAATGCCTTTGTGAATTCTGATTTTGACCAAGTCTCCTGACAATACCTGTTCAAAGGGCATATTTTCTTCTTTCCATGTTTTTTTAGCATATGATAAGCTTATCCTTATTTTTTTCAAGTTTTGTTTTGTTTTGTTTAAGAGTATGCTTTAATATCCTGACATAGCTAGGTAGTTACTACTGGAAGTTATTTGTCCAAAAAACCAATCATAACTAAGTTTTTAATAAACTTAAAAGTGTGAAAAACTTTCAATCCTGTAGCAGCTTCTAAATCACTGTGTGTGTACCTTCCAAGCTTGGTGTGCCCAT